GTAATAGGTAACGATTTTATTGGTTCAGGATTTTCTGTGTAATAGGTAATGATTTTATTGATTCAGGATTTTCTGTGTAATAGGTAATGATTTTAGTGGTTCAGGATTTTCTGTGTAATAGGTAACAATGATAGATTTTTGACAAACCACGACAGCAGCACATTTTTTAGCTGGATTAATAACAATGTATATATATATATTTAATTACACACATCTACATGCCACAACACATGTTTACTGTTCAGAAGTGTTAACAAATGTGTGTGTGTGTGTATGCACATCAGAATGTATTTAATTTTCAGTAATGAAAGAGATGCTTTAAAGTTTAGAAGAATACTTCTTTATGGTGTGGAAATAATATCAGAAAAACTGAATTGGAATTAATTGTTCTGGTAATAAAAGAAAAAAGTAACAGGCGGAGAATGTAGGTGAAACACTCATTAAAACAAGTTTGTTGGCGAAGTTAAAAACAACGTTTCACGCAATGGCTCTTAATCTCATTTGTAGTGTGTGACTAATAATAAAGAACATGTGACTCGAGAATATTCTTAGTCTCCGTTCGTTAGTTAAATTTTCCGTAAAAATTCTTTCCGAAGAAACTTTACCGATACAAGTCCTTTCTTAAATAAAACTGGTTTATTCTTTCTGAATACAACTTTGCGATACACTTAATTTCAACAGTCGCGTTATAACAAACGCTATAATTCACAACGAACGTCTCACGTGCTCAACAATATTCTCTCTTCGCAGTTCAATTACACATTACCTCACGTTCAGTTCTTGCCGATTTATATATACAAGACTACGACTTATCTAGTAGGTTCTCGACAATTAAGGAAGGGACGTGAACGTTCGAGAAGGACGTGGCGTGATACTAGTCACGTGACCTCCGCTGTCGCAACAATATATTCGTACGACAAATGAAGGTAGAAGAAGTAACACAAAATATTAATTAGTAGAGTAATCTCAGACGATGTAGAAAAGTCACAAAAAAGACGGTAATGACATTATGTAAATAAACAGGAACATAAAGACAACACCTGGTAAAATGTACAAATAAAAAAAATAAAGTCCAGCGAGAAATGGAAATTGTAATGCTTGGTGAACAAATAACCAGTGTTTTAATGTCCGTGATAAATGTATGATATTCACTGGCAGAAAACTGAAAGTTGTTTAAAATTTTGTGTCGTGTTTTTTTATGTAAGTACGAAGAGAGGGGAGAATGAGTTTAAGGACATCATCAAGGAAACACTAAATTAATTGTGTGGGAAAGTTACAAGCGGAAATATTTGGCGACCAGGATTTCCTGATTTATGAATTTTAGAAAGAAGGTAAAAGTTACGGTGTCATGAGAATACTAACAGTTAAGTTTGTAACGTGAGTTACTCATGTTACTTTTCGTAACTTGCGCTTTAGGAAGCTCATTTTCGCGAATTTGTATTCTAACAACATCTTTACAAGACTAATTTTGTTACTCTACAATATATTTGTAATGCTCGGTATAATAGTCACATCATTTTTGTAAGAACCTGACTTTGTCAAGATTCTTCGGTCCAGTTCTTTCAAACAAATGCGCTCAACACTAACTACGATATGCTAGAGAAGAGACACTGCCTCAACTAATATTTAACTTACACGTCAGGAACTTTCCTACTGTTCCCGTCATCCACAGGTCTGAACACTACTTTAATAAGTTATATCATAACTCTATCTGAAATGTTTTCAACCGTATAAACTAGGCATTAAAACTCAATATCTCTGTTCCATCTAAAATAGTCTTAAAGAAAATCCTGATTTAGTTGTCACTATAACTGCTGATTTACTATTAACTGACACAGAAACATCGGTCTTTGGGAAATAACTAAAATTTGTTTCAACCAGGAATTCTATTGACGTATTCACCCGAGAGATTTGGAGAAATTTCTCCTCAAAAGGAGCCTGGTGATCAGGACACTTGACTTGCAATCTGCAGGTCGCGGGTTCGAATCCCCGTCATCGAACATACTTGCCCTTTCAGCCACGGGGACGTTATTATGTGTCAATCAATCTCACTATTCGTTGGTAAAAGAGTCACCCAAGAGTTCGCGGTGGGTGCTGTTGTTGACTAGTTGTTCTCTCACTAGTCTATCACTGCTAAATTAGGAACGGCTAGCGCAAATAGCCCTCGAGTGGCTTTGCACGAAATTCAAACCAATACACCAAAAGACTAATTTTCGTAAATCAACCACTTCTACAAAGATATCGAAGAATACTTGCATAAATCTTCAATGTGAAGATTTTCATCTCGCTGTCGGCCAGGTGGTTAGGGCACTATACTCGCAATCTGTGGGTCGTGGGTTCGAATCCCTGTTATACTAAACATGCTCGCCCTTTCAGCCGTGGGGGCGTTATATAGTTACAGTCAATCCCACTATTCGTTGGTAAAAAGAGTTGGCGGTAGGTGGTGATGACCAGCTGCCTTCCCTCTCGTCTTACGCTGCTAAATTAGGGACGGCTAGCGCAGAAATCCATAACAAACAAACATCTCGCTGTCAATTACAACCAACTTATAAATATTGATCAACAATCCTACGTATACCAAGAAACTATCTTTTTTTATAATGATGAACGTTCGACTTACAGTATAATGCTTCTTCATTATTTAAGTTCATCTCCTAATCGGGACCATCATGTGATTTCAAGAACTACAAGAAATCTAAATCAACGTGTATACCATCCATTGGAGCCTTCACTAGCTTAGAATATCTGTGTCAAGTTTAGAGATTGGGACTCCGAACCACCCATGTATCGTATATAGATTTTTTAGGATTTGCCAAGCTATAAAAAATAGGACTATGGAAATTTTTATACCACCCCATGAGGTCGAGTATTGTGGTCAGCTACGCTCCCATTCCTGTTTGGGGTAAGAGACAATTGTTTATCATTCAAACCATTAAGACTTTTTTTTTTTAGATCAAGTTAACAGATATTTTTAACAGGTAGAGTATATCCCATCATGAGAAAATTTATTGTAATCATGACAATCGGTTATTTTTCATTACATTATCTTGGCGTGGGTATAAATCACCTGTTTTCCTCAAATTTAACAAACCTTGAAATGTTACTGGAAAATATATTGAATTAACAATGAAAACGCGTTCTGGAGATAAATTGGAAAGTGGTAGCGGTATTCCCAAATTTATAATTACATTCAGAGATGGAAATAAACAGTAGTTTGAAAAATAGATGTCGAAATAAGTTCTAAGTGAAGCAGACTCTTACAAAAACATTTTGAGATAACAGATGTTATACAAGATGTGTTAAGTTGTTAAAATATTTATTAAATAGTTAAATAAATATTGTTTGTGTGTGTCTATTTACCTTGTGTGTACTGATCCTATTATAAAAGTTAATGCTCATGAATGATACTTGTTGACTTGTTTTGAGGAGCATGCTTACCCCCCCCAAA